GGTCCCTTCCCGACAGGGGAATTGAGGTAGGCGTGGTACGTCACGGTGGCAGAGTCATCGTCTCCGACCTTGGGCTTCAGGAACAATTCTCTCTCAAAGTAGGTTGTCCACGGGATTTGCTCCAGCGTGCGGCCCCTCGACACACTAGAAGCGGATATCAGCGTCTTGGTGTGAGCGCAAACTTGTTTTCCTTCCTCGGGCCTCGTGGCAATGGCGGGAGGGGAAGAACAGCAGAGGGCAAGAGAAAAGTACGTTACCCTTGCGGTCGAGCAAAGAGGTTCTGACTCGGAGATGGGATGATTGTGCCGGTAGAAGAAGCGGAGGAGGCGGACGAGGCCGAGGAGGAGTCTCCATCGTCCATGTGCTCCGGCAACTCGGGGAGCTGATCGGTCTCGGGTTCCTCGTCGAGGTCGTTGAGGGGCTCCGGTAGAGGATGCATGGGGTCGAGTTTCCTCTTGGCCCAAGCTCTTTGCAACTCACTCATGTTGGGCTGGCCTTGGGATCTGCCGACAGCTTCTGCCAAAACAGGTGGATGGTGTTTCTTCCCCTTTGCCTCTTCCCTGTGCCTTCTATAGTGAGGCAACAGCAACTTCCGGCGTGGCTTCCGTTTGTGTGTGTGTGTGTGTGTGTGTGTGTGTGTGTGTGTGTGTGCTGCAGGCGTCGCCGACCAGCCGGGATGCCAAGCCGATGGTTGCAGATGCAGGAAAGTTTGATGAGGGGAGAGATCAGAGACGATCAGAGCCGTGTAACTGAGATGGCCGCAAGATGAGGCCCGTGAAAAGGGGCGGAAGAAACGAATGCAGAGCAAGGCTGGAGCCGCCAACTTTGGGCCAAGTGGGATGCTGTGAGACCAACTTTGGAAGTTTGAGTTGCCGTCGTGGGGATGACGTTCAGTGGGGTGATGAGGGGCAGCCCGTTCTACTCGCACTGTACTTTAATGGTGTTTTATGCATGGTTTACAGTGCCTAGATGCAATCTCTCGCACACGCCAGTCTAACGGAGGCAACTGTGCCCCAAAAACCTCGCTGAAAGAAAGAGTGGCCCGTCCCTGCCATGTGTTCCTTCCTTAGCGACGAGACAAAGGCGAGCGAGGTTTCCTGAACATTTTCTTTGTTGAGCTGCCTTGAGTTTCTTACTCCTCTGGGAAGACCGTTATACCTGAACTTATCACAATACACACACTCCCAGAGCCAATGGTCTGATATCGTCTACATCGTCAGCCTCTTCCCTTCAACTTCACTCATCACTCATCACTCAATAATCACACACTTTAGACTATTAATTTCCGTTCCATTTGTAGGTATATACTTATCCGAGGCCCTTTCCTCCGCTATGCAAACCCTCCGCCTTTTGAACCCCAAAGAAGAAGATTACCTTGCGGTCATAAAACGTGTATATCCCCACAGGGGATATCAGGCCTGCTTGGTTGTGTAAGTTGCTGATAACGACTGCATACAAGGGTCCCTCCAATTCCTTCTTACTCTTCTCCTTTACGACAAAAAGGCAAAAAGAAACGAGAAACACAGAGAGGCAGCCGTCGATATCATAACCATTGGTGTTTGCAGAGGGTGTAAAACGTTGTTGTGTATATCCGTAGATATCTTTGAGAGGAAAAATGAGAGAGACGGACAAATGATGAGCAGACCCAAGGAAATAAGTTTTTTTGAAAATATAAAATAAGAAATAAGGAAAGGAAAAAGTAAATAGGATATAAGTGGCTTCCTTTCTGGAATCTCTGTGAACAGCTAAGAGAGATCCATATGTCATACATTCCACACTTCTATGTTCATTGTCATTCCAACAGGTACACACGCCAGTCAAGCCGTCTCCCGATTCTTTCAGCTTTTCTTTCAGTGATACACACCCCGGTACCCGCCACCACCATAGCCGCCGTGGGGGTTGTGGTTGAAGTCGCCGCCCACGTTGGGCAGTGTTGGCGCCCGGTCGGCGATGGGTGCCGCGCCGAGGACGAGGTTCTCGCGGCTCTGGTCGTGGTGGGCGTTGCCATAAGGCGTGCTTGGCGCCAGAGGGCGGTAGGGAGCGTTGCCCGCTGCGCCCATGTAGTGGTCGGGAGACTCCGGGCGGTGGTCCTTCTTCTCGGGGACGCTCGACATGGAGAAGGTGGTACCGGCCTCGGGATCCTTGCGGTCCATGAGGAGGGAGTTGCGGGCGTCCAGAGGAGTGAGGGTGTCCATGTCGCGCTGCATCTTCTCTGTAAAGGGGGTCAGTAACGTGGTATTCAAAAAGCGTGGAAGCAGACTTACCCATCTCCTTTCTGCGCTTGCGGTGGGGGTTCTCCTTGCAGCAGGCGTTGATCGCGTTCCACATGATCAGAAGAGCGAGCACACCGGTCAAAGCGGACTGGACGGCAATCAAGACAACGCCAGTGACGGTCTGGGTGGTCTGCGCAATGCCAAACTCCTCGACAAAGACGAGGATGCAGGCAACCGAGAGAACGCGGACGACCTGGATGGTGATGTTGATGACGTTGCCCGACTTGCGCTCAAAGGGACGGCTCCACAGCAAAAGGCATAGCATGAGACCCTCAACGACGAGCTGGGCAGAGGTCTGTGCCATGCCGTGGCCATCGCCAGCAGCAAGAATGCAACCCTTGGCGAACAGGTAGACAATAACGGGGACGAAGATCCACCAGTAGTCCTTCTTGTAGGACTCGTAGAAGAGGCTGTACTTCATCCAGTTGTTCTTGTCATCGTAGAGACCGCTGACATCGCCCTCGGCCTGCTTCAGCTTGCGAGCAGTGCTCCAAATCTTGTAGGAGAAGAAGGCGAGAATGCCAGTAAAGATACCCAAACTGACACCGGCAAGAACCTTGGCAGCCCATGAATCACCGTTGGTAAACTGGAAGATGCAGTACAAAACCCAGATGCCGTACAGCAACATAATGAGCGAGGTGATGGCACGGGCAATAGATCCCCAGTAGTGCTCACGGAATCCGGCAAGACCCTTAGGGAAGTTACCGAAAAGGGCCCAGAACTCGAGAATGACCTTGACGAGGAGAATTCCAACAATGATGGCTGCAATGACGATGGCGACGATGAGGAGAACGGTCATGAAGGTGTTGGACTTGGGGACACTGAGAGTGTTGACAAAGGCAGTGATGCCCTGAACCTTCTGCTTGATAGTAGTGACCGGGTCGTCAGAGTCGCCGCTGGTGGTTCCGTTAACGCTGGTCTCAATCTCTCTGAGGACAAGGGCTTGGAATGTCTCGACGGCACGCTTGGTCTTGAATAGGGCGCTGCCACCGTCGACGGTGGAGCCGTCGGCGAGAATGAGAGTGCTGTTCTTGAGGATCTCAACGCTGTCCTTGCTCAAATCACCGCCGGTCGCACCACGGAAGTTGTCAATAGCGACCTGCATGTCCGTCCAGGGAATGATGCCGCAAGAGAAACCAAAGTTCTTGACGAAGCTGCTGTAGACGGGAGGGTAGCTGACAGAAAGCATGCCGTTCATGGCCATGCCCTGGAACCATCCGAAAACCTCTGTGAAACTGGGGCTGATGGTACCAGCACCTCCAGTGCCGCTGCCACTGAGGGCGGCACTGCCTCCAGCGAAAGCAGAGCTGACTGCAGACACACCAGTGGCGACAAGAGCGAGACCAGCAACACCGGCGGCAATGTAAGAGACGGCAGCGACGCTGGCGGTCTTACCGTTGGTGACCTGGGACGTGATGCAGGCGACCTCTTCGTTGGTATCGAGGGTCTTGAGCTGAAGCTTGGCCTGAGCGGCGATATCGGGGACTGCGAAGGCGATATCCGGGACCATGCTGGCATACTCATCAGGAATCTTCTGAGTGCCACGAGCAGAGAAGCTGCCGGCGGGGACTGAGATTTGTTAGCATTTTCCGTAATCGTAACGTCAACTCATCGACAGCTAGCACATACCAGGGCAGAGCTGCTCGACAAAGGTTCCTGCTTCGCATGGGTTGAAGGTGTTGGAGTAGATGGCAGTGCCATAGGCGCTGACATCCAAGATGGCTGTGACGTTCTGAACCTTGGAGCTCGTTCCTGCTACATCGAAAGTGACGGTCTTGTTGTCGTTGTTGTACTGAATATCAATCTTCTGGACGGAAATCGCGGTATCGTTGCCGCAAGTCGTGAAGCTGCTTGTCTTGAGGATGGAGTCGGCGAGGGTGCTAGAAGCAAATGCGGTGGCCAAGGCCAAAAGGCGCTTCGGGCCCCAGTTGGGCGCGGTTCGCGTCATTTTGTTGTGTTGTAAAAACAAAGTTGTGGTTGAAAATTCGTTGTTCGTCGTTCTGTCGGGAATCGAAAATGTTTCCCAAAGCCGTGTGATGGTGGGTATACCCAAAGTCTATACTTTTTGAGCCTCTTTGTGCTTCTTTCTCCTGTACTCCCAGCGATTGATGCCGTCCCTTTCCCTGCTATAACAGATTGATACGCTTTGATAACGAGTTTGGTGGTGAGAGAGATAGGGGGTTCAGTGTTCGTCGGGGACCGAGTTGTGAGTTTTCTTTGGTGAATTGAGTGATACTATTCGAGGAGTCGTCGTCGCGTCGGGAGGGTATATTGCGAGAGTCGTGGACCAAAGGAAACAAGTAACCGGATTGTACTAGTGAAGTCGAAGGATTGTGAAACGGTAAGAGGCTAACAAGAAGCAAGCACAGCTTTCTACAGAATGACACGAGAGAGATGAAATAAAAGAGGCCGAGGATCAACCTGGAAAGAAGAGGAATATGGGCTGGCCGCGAGGTCCCTCTGCAGAGCCCGAAGGGTGTCGATGGGATGAGCCCGTATGAGGCTTCTGGTACGCCGAAAGAGATGGATCAGCGGAAGCAGGTTGAAAACCTATGGTGGTGAAGTGGGCGTCGGAGGTTATGATAGATCGAGAGAGTGAGCAGTGTGTTGGAGTGAGAGAGAGTTTCTTCAACAGCTAGATAGGCGAAGAGAGAGACAGTGGCTGAAAAAAGAGGCTAAAGTCCACGGGCGGGTATATGAAACGAGCGAAAGGTGACGATGCTGAGAATGCACGCCGGTCAGGAGGTGGTGGTGGAGTGGGAGGAGGGAGGGAGGGAGCAGAGACAAGACGCAGAGAGAGACAGAGGAGGAAAAGGAACGACACGAACGAGCGAGAAGGGGAAGCGATTGGCGATCGATGGTTGGCGGGAGATGGGGCCCCAAGCCTGGAAGCGACCTCAGCGTCGTCTGTTCTCCTCCACGGGCCCCCCATGCAAAGAGGGACATGGACCCTGGGATGGCGTGCGGATTGGTGTGGATGGGGGTAACGCACGCACACCAGACGCAGACGAACAACGGTACGAACAATCTGGACGGTCTCCGAGCCACTCGCGCTTTCCCTCTTGCTTTGCTGCTTGACGGATTTCGTCCACAGAACCACAGCTGCTAGCACCGTCTCTGATCCGTCTCCTCCTCCTCCCTCCTCCCACTGGGACAAGACAAGACGGGGAGAGGAACCATCTGTGGGAGGTCGTGTTCAACATCCTGGTCACCTCCACCGGGCGCAGGTTCGATTGGAACCTCGTCCCTGACATGATCCTTGCCCCATCCAGGCACCTCCAAAGGCTCCAGAGTGCAAAGGAACGTCAACCAGCCGGAAGGCCGTCAACCCTGCTCAAGAGCGTCTCTGCCCTTGCGCCGATTCTAATGTCCAGTAATAGCCCAAGGATTGGGTCGACCCACGCAGCGGCGCTGACGAACTGGGTCCCTTGTTGGGTCCTCTCTGGAGCCCAGCGCCGCCAAACCAGCCCATCATCTCCTCCCGTTCCTGATTTCCTCAGCGTGGTCTGGGGGAAAGTAGTGTGAGGATACCATGGCGCCAGACTGGCGGCGGCACTGGCATTAGCATGCCATGGTGCGGCTTGCTTGTCGCCGACTCTATCTCTCTTGGCCGTTCGACGGCGCGAGGCGTATTAGCGGCGGTGGCGGGCGGCTACTGCGAGGAAGAGGGGGCGGGTAGTGAATACGACGACCGGTAGATGGTAAACATCAGCTTACTGTGGTGGAAAGGCTGCGAATGCGCATTAGTTTTTTACGAAAGTCTTCTGTCAATAGTGCAGTACGTACCGGGCCTTGATGCAAAGTGAAAACAGACGGCGGCGCAAGGTCTTGCAAGTTGCAGCTGCGAGCAAAACCAGACGGGAGAAAAGAAAAAGTCAAACTAAGGCAGCACCTGCACAACCCATCTGAGCCCCCCGCTGGCATCTGTCTAGGCCAGCCGCGGTGTCGTGTGGTCGAACAGTCTAGACTGGCCCGTCGTGGTCGAAGTCCTTGTTGGTGTGAGGAAACAAGAGATTGAGGGTCCGGGATTGGAGCAAGGAACAATTTGCCTGGAAGTGAGCGACGACGATACGTACCGACAAGTGACCTTTGTCAAGCCTCAAGCATCAGAGTAAAGGAACTTATTTGAAGGGCTGAATTGGCTGGGTCGCTCAGGTACCGCCTTACATAAGACACTTTACTTTCCACAAGCAATCACGCAGAGATGGGACCTGCCTGACCTTCCCGCCTGCGATCAAATTACCGTTGGACAGGGCCGCTGCGGGCAACAAGGAAGGTGATTGATACCCAGCTTCCAATCTGCATTCAGCTTACATAAAGTAGGTATACGGAGTAGACACAGATACGTACATTCTATCCTAGGGAGCATTAAACGGCAGTAAGGCACGGTAGGCCTTCCGTGTAAACCGTCATACGGATTCGATCCATCCAAGTTTCCATTCGGACACACACTTCGCACGCCGTGACGCCATGCCGTGGGAAAACGTCTGAACACCAAGTTAACCTTACATAAAGATACACTGCTCGCCCATTCTTTCTTGTGGAGTCTGAAACAATGCCTCGAGGAGGAGCAGGTCTCGGCAATCCCGCTCTAAATCAGAGACACTGAGAAACACCGGTGACCAACAGTGAATCATGAACATTCTCGAGTAATCCAACCTCCTCCGTCGTTTTCCCGTACGTTGTCTTTGTCCTGTTGCCCGGTGACTAAGGTTCAGCAGTCGTCAGCGACCACGCGTGACGCCGAGTCCAGTGCCTCCTTGGCCTGGCAGATACACGAGCGAAGAAAACTCTACGTAGTAGACTCAGGGGCAAAATCCAAGGCTAGTGCCGAGTCAAAGTCAGTAAAACGGTACCTTTTTATGTACGTGTACGGTGATGGACAGGCACAAAATCAACTCTGCAGCCCACCCGTCCCAGCCCGCAACAACCGCACTCCGTCCGCGCCCCTGCATTGGCGTCAGGGGTCCCCGTCAATGGGCTTAGCCAGAATGGGACTGGTGGATCGACATGAGGACTGGTCGGGACACCGGACGGCCTCGACTACCAGAACGGGGGCGGGCTTCACTCATCTTTTTTTTGCCAGGTGGTGAGCCATAGGAACCATTGGCTACCGCTCTTCCAAAAGCTACGCGGCAGAAAGCACAGAAGGAAGAGAAAGAGAGGAAGCAGGGAAGCCTGAACCAAATCATTCCCTACACCCCCGGTCCTGTCTGAAACTGCGCCATCACGGAGAAGGAGGAGCAACCTCGTCTTTCACCAATGAGATTTTCTTATCTATCATCAATTGTGCAGCTGTCAGCTGGAAGTCTGGGACTCTGGGAGGCGGGTGAGAAAATTCTTGATTGTGGCCGATTCATGAATCCATCCACTGGAGTCCAATCCAAGTTTTTGTACTTCGTCATTATAGAAACAAAATAGAGAAAAAAGACTCAAACGTTCAAACACTTCGATACTAATCAGTGGTTCTGAACCTATCCTTCCTCCAGCGGTCCAGCCCCCATTTGTCTTGGGAAAGCAGATGAAATGATCAAAAGCCCAGGCGCTACGGGAAATTCTTGCCGCTGCCACGTTGATCAATTCAGGTCGGTCAATCTCGTCACAAGCCTGTCGAGAACCACAGTAACCACAGTTTATCAACGGGCTCAAACCGACTTTGGTCACTAATTGTGGTGAGACTACTCTATATCCAGGTCGGCACATGAAAAGAGAGTCCTCCATACGGATAATCAATTGATGTGAACGGCTCGATGCAATCGGATTGCCGTTGATACCCTACTAAGATTAAGCACCTGGGTTACCGTGTAAAAATAAACGTTTGTCTCCCAATCCCAATCTCACACACCCCTTACCTCATCTCCATACTTCCGCCATGTCTTCCTCACCTCAATGTCGGAATGTCCCCACGTCACTTCAAGCCGCGTCGCTTATCCATCATCGCTACCACGTTCATATCGCGTTGCTGTGTAGGGATGAGGATCGGTGCGTCTGCATTATCATTAACAATATCCGTCATCTCAGGCCCACATCAGCAATACACTTTCCCCCAAACCTTGGACAATTGTATGCAGTAGAGGAAGAATAAGAAGAAGCTACGTCTGCGCAGACTACAGCAGAAGAGGGCACGGTAGTTACAATGCCCGTATGCACAGCCGCTGCATTGTACATTACCTTAGTATGTGCGGCTACGCGGTACCTGTGCGTTCTCACGACATTTTAACTTGCGCAGTCACACAACTACGATGTAAAGTGAGGCAGGGCAATCCTGATCTTTCACACACAAGTTGAACTTAAAAAGACGATGACTTCGGATCACCCACTTCTTCCCATCCCATCTCCCGCGCCCGCTTCCCCCACCCACCTTTCCGCAGTCTGCTCACCTGCCATAGGAATGCTCAACTATCCGCACGAAAAGATGTAAGGTTAGGATGGCCCGTGTTGTGCTACCCGGGAGGCCTGCCAAGCCACATTCCAACCCCCTCGGCGCCTGCTTGCCCATTTGTCCAACATTCCAACTCTGGTTTTGGCTCTGCCCTACCCATACTCAACACTGGCACCGACCATTGCTTGTCCTCGTCTGATCCTGCAGCCTACGGGATACTCGCAGCCTTCGACAGCCTGCGCCAAGTGACGAATTTTTTGCCCCTCCATCCGTCCACCGGCTCCCGTCCATCCCGTCACTGCAAAGGAAAGTCCGGGCAACAAGCGAACGCGCAGTACCGGTGCCGTGCCGTGCATATGCCACCTCACTCCTCCCAAGCCGGACATACCGCGCGCCGTCTCGTCTCTTCTCCTCTAAGCTGTAGGCTATATGCAGATGTGCAGATACTTCCGTGCTTTGCTCTACCGAGCTAGAGTACGCTGAGCTCAGCCCATCTCAGCCCAGCTCTGGCCTGAGCCTCGGACGGTAAAGCAAACGCAACACAAACGACTTGTGCCTCAGAACCCCCGCGCCAAAACCGCCTAGACGGACGCACCGCCCCCTTGGGCCTTGGTTGTCAATCTTTTCATCCGATATTGACGACATGTCACGTCTGCAGAACCCCCCTTACTTAGCATATGTACGGATACGCAAAACGCCAAAACCTTGATCTTTTTCAAGGGCAACCTTCTTTTTGTTCGTCAAAAGGTTACATCCTGTTCCCACGCCGTCACCAAACAAAGGCTGTTTCTTCCTTTTCTCCTCCAATGGTTTCTTCAACAATATGACCTCAAGTTGCTCTGTAAACCTTTCCGAAACTCGTCAAAGCCCCCGATTTACCCTGATTTACCCCCTCCCCCCATTCGTCTCTGTCTCACGGCTTTCCTTCCCGACGTTGACAGTGGTGCCGTGTGATTGGAAACACTCTCCACCAGGAGTTTTGAGGGGAAGGGCGAGGGGGTTGGCCATGAAGCCCAGCAGCGCACTTTCAAAACCTGTCCAGAAAAAGTAAAAGTGACTTCATCGCCAACATCCCCAAACTCTGGCTTCAACTACCGTGATGTCTTCCCAAACTTCCCAATGCCCTGGAATACCCAACCATGTCTCGGGCTTCAAGCGCCTTCTATTCTCCCACGAGACCGGTCTCGTCGGAAGAAACGTAGGTAGGCCTCCAGGACGGCTTCCCCGGACCCCGACACTTCTCTCCGTCGTCATGGTCAAGCATTATCCCTCGCTTGCGTTCTCACTGCCACCCATACGTACGGATGTCCAAACATTCTCACTATCCCGTAGAGAATTCCCCCTCCATAAACAGTCACTCGCTCTTGGACCCCGTACCATACCCGCGGTATCTGCCTTGCCTTCCAAAACGATCGGCGACGATGACGACGAGCCACAATAGTACCTCTCAGCTATAGCCTCCTGTCCATACAGATTACAGGATGTATGCTCGTAGACACTCGAGCGATAAGATTCAAATCCTGGGAAACCCATCATTCCTCTCACTCTGGAATCGTGCCCCCGAGAGACGAGCAACGCATTCGATGCATCTGGCAGGTCTTCTCTTCAACGAGAGGCACCCTTGGCTTCTCGAAACCCAAGTCCAAATAGCACGTGTTGGGTTTCTTTTTCTTCGTCTTTACTCTTCATTCCGCTCCCATTCTCAGCCTCTCCCAAGTTCCGACTCCAACTCCCGGTGTAAAAAATATATACAGTATAGACACCAACAACACGGCCCTCCCTCCCACGGCTTGGACACAGGCTCACCCTCACATCTTGAATCCCCCCTCTTCCGAGCGGCCCCCAACCAACCACAACCCAGAACCCGTGATGGAGATAGATTAATAAAAGCAAGCAAGACTGTCGCCAGTATTTCCCAGCTACCCGGCCCGGCTGCCCTTTTCCCTGCTTTTTTTTTTTCACTTTACTGTATGGTATGCACCTGCGTCTTATGCCAAACGGTAATAAAATATCAAAGGGTATCCTGTACCCCGACAATCAGGCACCAGATCCAGAATAACCTCCGTCCGTCCCAGGTCCCGGTCGGAACCCGTCGAGACCAAGGAAACTTTTGATGATTTATCCCTCCCCTCTCCATCAAGAGCATAAATGGTGAAAAGAAAGATATGATGGCATTCCACCTACAGTACTCGGTATGCGTACACTGACTACCTTATCCATATGTACACAAAAATCCCAACCGTGACTCCGCGGTCGCCCGTTCCCTCCTTCCCGGCCCGCGGCCCGGGATACGTATTACCGCTATTGCGCCTCGTATGAAGCGGGTCTTCCGTCGTCCTTACTTATGATACCGTATGCTGCGTACAGGCACGGTGTCACCAATGACCTCCCTTCTCCATCCAAGTAAAAACCCACCCGTAAGTGTGCCCCCCGAGACTGCGACGCATTTGCCTTGGAAACTGTGGAACCTCAGAACACTACAGCGTGTCCGTACAGGTGCAAGAGCACAATGTTGGTGATTTGGGAGGGGGGTGGGGGCACAGGGAGGGCTTCAACATCCCAGAGAATTGGAAAAGGCTTGTTCCTCGATGAAGTCGGATAGGCAAGCTCCGCGGGGGGTTTCAACCGTTCGACCCGGCAAGACATGAAGACGCTGATCCCACAGGAGTCCAGAGCGCCCATACTCCGTAGATATTTTTGACCGTGGCCACTCCGTATCGCTCGCGTACCGCT